AAAGATTGGGAAAAAAAAAAAAAAAAAAAAAAAAGACATTTTGGCCCACAAAGGTTGATTTCTTTTAGATAGCCATGTTGCGAACATTTAACTTCAACTCCTCTGCTTTCATGTCAAAAGAAAGGATGAGATTTTTCTTCCACTGGAAACTTCTTCGTTTCTGGCTTTTTTCTTAAGCTCCCCCAACTAATAATATGTCTACATAGTTTAGGGTACTCAAATAGTCCAAAGCAAGCTCAAAAGCTTTACCAAAAGTTGGTATAAAGCCAAATGGCTTGTCGTGTGCCAAAATGATTAGACAGCATTTTGACTCGCGGTTAGAATAAATCTTGATTCAAGTTTACATTTTTAAATCTACTTTTCGTGGTACAAAAGAATAGATTATTGAGACTTAGCTTTGAATAATATATATTGAATATATGGATTTGTTATTGAATCATTATATGGTACAAAAAGTAGATTATGTGAGTTTGAATTTATGTAGTGTGTGGGATTTATAAATTCTGATTTGAAATAATTATATTCATATATGAGAAACCCACTCGCTCAGACTCTCCTCCACTTAAACTTGGTTGCTTCTTTGCCACAAGGTCATCTCCCTTGGTTGGCGCTTGTCTTGTCTTGACCTCTGGCTTCTTTGCTTGCAACCATTGACACTATTCTTTTTGTGAATGACTCTTTGAAAGGCACCGACTTGGTCACCTTCTATTTCATCTAGCTTGCCCATATCAAATTCCCAAGCTTTTGGCAAATGAGCTTGGTAATCATAATTTTTTCTTATAATCAAACTTGCATTTAAACCTTACCTTTCCCAAATGATGTGTTTGTCATTGTGCTAGAACCACAAAAATTTAACATTTTACGTGTTAACTATGGTAAGTTTGCTTTAGTTTTCTTTAAAAACTTTATCTATTCACTTATATATCATAAAATTTCTTATTTTCTAATGAGGTAGAACTTTGGTTAAATTTTCAAACGTCATCTTGAACAAAACTACGGAGACTCTCACGTAGTCATTTGTACCTTTTGCTTGACTCCCTTCCTAAAGTGTTGTTATTATAGTTAAGTTTGAGACATGACTTGTATGTCATTTGTTAAGGACAATGAAACTTCAATATTCTTAGATGGATACAATGATGCCTATCAATCTTAGGAACTCTTAAAAAATCTTAAACTAATGTAATTGTTTTTTTTTTATAGATCTCTTCCTTTTCCCAAATTTTAGTTGTGATTCCCAACATACTGGTCATATAAATAAGTTTATATGCAGTTACTTCTAAATTCCCATCAACCAAACATAAATTACATCAATTTAGGTTTTCGTAACTGGTTGCTTTAGTTGTAATCCAGACACAAGTTGTACAATCTTCTAACCATTATCAAGATCATGGTTGAAGGCACCTGCACCAAACTCCAAAGTAGCTGATTGAAGCAGACTAAAAGCTCTTGAATCTCGATTATAAAAAGTGTAGGAAAAACTTGTGGGTGGCTCACTAGTTGTTGCAAGGCTGTGCTGATCCACTCAACTGGGCGTTGGAGGCATTCCGAGAAGCGCATTCGTGGGATGAAAGCGAGAAAAAAGAGGGTAATACGATAAAAAATAATTATGGGAACATATGAATGAGGAAAGGAGGATGCTAATGTGGGCTGGCTATTAAAAAAAAGTAGAGATATCTGCCCATTAAAAGGCTTGAAAAAGCAAAAGGAAAGAGAGAAAGTAATGGCCACATCCACATGGGAAGTGTGAGCGAGAGAGAGAGAGAGAGGCGCTGTTTCTAAGTAAGGTTGGGCAGGTAAGTGTCATCATCAGTAACCATGATGGGAATAGGTATCTTATAGTGTTATTGTATGGTTCAGTTTGGTGGACCGTTTGATTTCTTTCTTCCAAGCTCCAGTCCATTCCCTACTACTCTTTGGAGATCTAGTTTCAAGGATCAAACCATTTTTGCGCTGAAAACAGAGATGTTTAAAGAAAAAGGTTGACGGGTCCAAATATGTGTTTATTGAAGTCTCAATAATAGTCACATGCATCGTCTGTTATCTGAATCTGCCCTTGAAAGCTGAGTTTGTCCTCCATTGGTTATGATTCTACTGAGATAGAATCAAATCATACTGAACAATCTCTAGGGTGGTGAATCTCTGTACTTGGACGCACAGGTTCGAACCTTTTCTCTTCTGTTGGTTAATGATTATTACGAGTTGATTATTATTGCTAAGCTCATGAGTCCAAAACTAATTGGACCCATTAGGCCCGCACGTCCCCAAGGGAGAAAGGGTGGCCTTGGAAGAGAGCCCACAAAGGTAGAGTCAAGAAGCTCGATTGACTATACCCAAAAGGAAATTAGATCCCAAGCAAGCCTATAGGTCGAGCTGAGGCTACAGGTAACTCTCCCGTTGCCCCTTGGTAGAGTCATTAGTATCGTGGAAGGAACAGAATAAATATGACAATTCATTCCCCTATTTAAGGTAAGTAACAGAGTGTGTTGAGCAATGTAGGTGCGAAATCTCTCTTTTGCAGGGCTACTCGAACCACTCGGACTAGAACACCCATTTGACCTCTGGGATTATTCTTGTTCATCCCAATCAAATCTTGGCATTTAACAGTTTACTTCAAATTTATACTATATGTTCAAAGTTTTTTCTCCCTATTAAGTTTGGTCTTTTCATATATATACACATATATACATACCTCTATCAGAAAGAGAAAAGAAACAAAGCCTGCTATTAGGGTCCTGGCGCTGCCCATTAGGGCCCCAAGTTCTAGTGAAATGGGGTGGATAGTGAAGGATAGTTCTGAATTGGAACAAAGGTAGTAAAGCTTAGCTCTGAAGTGGACCAAAAACATTAAGAAAAGGCCCAAAGGGTTCTTCCAAGATTGAGACCCATAAATGTTCCTGACAATATGGTTTCAAAATGTCTAGCCATTCTTATAAGCTAGTTTGAATTTTGTTTCCTCCTTTATTTGTACTAGAATGTAATATTTGTGGAAGCTTAGCTAACGAAATTCAAAGGAATTTTTTCCTGGCAGGTAAGGTCAAAATGAAGATTAGATTGTGGAAAATTGGTTAGAACTTCGAAGGTTCAGCCTCTTTTTATCTTTCAAAGATGAATTTAATGCTCTCCAAGGCATTACCATGAGGACGTTGACTGCTTCATGCTCTAACACCATAAAGCATCCACCCCTCGTTGTCTAGAGAAGAGCATAATTCATTTTAATTGAAATCAGATAATAAAATAATGATTTCTATGCCGTAAAAGACTAAAAGAAATATATTAGATGGGATGAAAGAGATTAAACTTTTATAGAAAAGTTTACATTAAACTAATCATGGAGACTAAAGAGAAATTGTTGAAAGTAGAGACGAAAGTGACATTATAGAAACATAAATTATTCTCATTTCCTGCCCAAAACCCAATGCTTCTTAACTGAAGAAAAAAAACATGATCGTCCAGAAGCATTGAACAAGGAACCAGTCAAAAAAGGAACACACAAGGGGAAAATGGTTTGCACATGACAGACTTATTCTTGAAACTCGTAGATTACTAAGAGAGAAAGTTGCAATTCCATTCGGTTAACGCTTAGGAGAATGGTAAGTTTGTTAGTGGATTATACAGATTACAGTAGTCTAGTCTGAAGGGTTATTATTAATTAGATTAATACAACTTACTTCCAAGGGGTCAGGCTTCAGCTCTCTCTAACTTAAGCAGCAACTAAGCGAGGAGCCAGAAATTCTTCTGCCATCTGGTGTTGATTACATACCCACCCATGTCTCTGCTTTGCTTCCTAACTCCTATAGTCAAGCACTCTGCGTTGTTTATGCACTGTTCCACCAAATCGCCCGCCCCACCACTCCCACAGAAGCTGCACTCAGTTCGTCAATCACATTTTAAGTTCAAAAACAAGTTGGAAAGTCCATTAATACGAGTGGGAAATTGACTGTTAGGTTAGATTCGACCCACCAGCTGAAAAAGGATGATGGCCTTCTCTGTCCCAGAACCAGCACCGACACCTCCAGCTTCTTTACCTGGTTCATCACTGTGGCCAGCTTCGGTCCTTCTAACACCAGCACCTCCACCTCTACCTGAAGATTTCATATAGAACCTTATATTACACAAGTGGAAAACACATTATGCAGCTTATACTAGGATTGTGGGGAGGGAGTACAACATTGGTTAATTTAGAGACATATCTCCATTGGTACGATGCTTTTTAGGAAAGCCCAAGAGAGCTTATGTTCAAAGTGTACAATATCATATTATTGTGGAGATCCGTGATTCCTAACATGATATCAAGGCCATGTTCTTAACTTAGACATGTCAATAGAATCCTTAAATATCGAACAAATAAGTTGTGAGCTTTCAAGATGTAGTCAGATGTCGAACAACGGGTGTGCTTTGTTCGGGGACTCCAGAAAAAGAGTCGATCCTCGATTAAGAGAAGGCTGTTCGAAGACTTCATAGGCTTCAAGGAAGGCTCCATAATGTATTTTGTTCGAGGGGAGGATTGTTAAGAGGGAGTCCAAAATTGGCTAATTAAAAGGAATAATCATGAGTTTATAAGTAAAAATACATCTCCATTGGTACAAAGATTTTTGGAGAAACCGAGAGAAAAGTTAGGAGAGCTTATCCTGCCGAAAATCTGTCCGTGATCCCTAACATACACTCCAATTCCTTGGTTAAATTGGAAGTGGGATCTGTGTCAGACAGAGTGTAATAAGACATGCTTCCTCCCATTGCATAACTTTCAATCAGAAATCAAACCAAAAGCTTAGTAATCTTGACAAGATCTGAGAAGAAAAGAAGGGGGAGAATTGAATTCCGTTCTAACCTCAGGTCTAGAAGCCTTGCAGATAGAACCAAGAGAGGTAGCACAAAAAGAGGAAGAAGAAGAAGAAGAATCTGCAAAAGACGAAGTAGAATCGGTGATAACATGAAGAAGAGTGAGAACATCGCCCTTGTTAGCCACATGAGTGAGCGCCCACATAGTTGCATGATTGGATTGCGAAGTCTGATCCACCACCACCATCACCCTCTTCTTTCTCGACATCCCACCATTGTCGATCCCATACATATTGTTAACACCACCCTCCATCTTCTGACTCCAACGCCACCCCTCACTGACACTCTCTTCACCTACGCTTCTTCTAAACTCCCCACCCCACCTCCTCGAAGCCGACCGAGACCCCTCCCTTCTACTTATCTGCCTCAGAAACGATTCCGTACTAAGCATTTTCTCGAACACCTCGTCTGCAACAAAACCAGACAGAAATCAGTAAGCTTAAATCTAGTAAATGGGTCATTAACATACGAAAATGGCAGAGATGAGGAGAAAGACAATACGAAATTGATGGATGGGACTGGGGCTTATGATTTCAATTACTGGTTAAGTTAAGGGGAGCGTGTGTGGAAAAGGAATGCCATAATTTGTATGTGTCTATAAAACAGAGGTTAAGAAGCGTCACGGGAAGAGATGAAAGGGAAACACAATCACTACTGTCTGCGTGTGATAATGAAAGGTAAAGGGATTCCCTCGCTTTCTCTGTTTTGGAAATATTTTATTTCTCTTTTGAACATTTGTTTTGGATCCTTTCTCCAGAATCTGCAATCTGAAGTGGGTAAAGTACGGTCAGATCAATATCAATATTATTTCTGACAACACTCCTCTAAATTGGATTTATGATGCTATTCTCTGCCCACTACCTTAGCTTAGCTTCTTTATAGTGTTTTTTTTTTAATTTCGAAAATTAAAACTTGATATTTCACTATTTTCTTTTCTGCACTAAATAATTTCGAATTACTCATAGTAAAAATAAAATAATATTACATGTCAAGCTATAATTAATAATTAGAGATGTCCACAGGTAAAGGGACCCCTATCCTCATCTTATTTTTACAGGGATAAGTCAAATATTCTAAGAAATGGGTGGAGATTCGAGGGGAAAGTATAGTTTCAATCGAAATTGTCTTCTTTAGGCTTCCATTTATGAATTTTCCCTCAAGGTTTCAAAATGCATCTGTTAGAGAGAGATTTCCACACTTTAATATTTCGTTCTCCTCTCCAACCGACATGAGATCTCACTATAGATGGAACTCTACAGTTCTTCTCTCCAACCGACATGAGATCTCACTATAGATGGAACTCTACAGGTTAAATAGACATTTCTACGTTTGATTCAAACGTATCAAGTCATCTGTTTTAAAAAAACCAAACATTGTTTTGGTGTATTGAGTTGCACGCATTTTTATACTTCTACTTTGCCCATATAGTAAAAAACACTAAAAAAAATAATTTAAGAAATGAAATAATGAAAGTTTTCTACTCAAAAGACTATAGTTACACGACTGTGACCATGTTTAAGTGTATAAAAATTAGATGCATATGAATATTAATGTAGTAATTTCCTTAAAGGATAGGAAATCCGGGCTTGAGTAATAATATTCATAAATTAGTAATTATGTTTAATTTTAAAAATATTGTAGCCATGCAAATTTAATTGGTTGTTGTTTTGCCATGAAATTTTACTACTTTAACTAATTAATAGGAAACAACGTCAATATCAAAGATGTCTTTTACAGTATACCATAATAATAATAAATAAATAAAATAAACATTTTTTCTTTTGGTGACTGAAATATCAATATTATTCTCTCTTTTGGAAAAAAATTGGGCATAATAATTTAATATTGCTTGTTTTACGGATAGGATCTGATAATTGTTATTAATTAATGTAAATAATTTAATTAGTTTCAGATTCTAACGTTATTATTTATTATATGCAAAATGGACAAGATTTGACACGTGGTTGTGTGGGCCTGCGAAATCATTTTGGAGGATAAAATGGTATTTTCAATAGAAAATAGATTAAATTATTGGACAGAGTTATTGAATTAAGGATCTGGAGGGACACGGTGGCTTATTACATTATATACAATACAATCAAATCTAACCTAAATTAATTTCTAAGATTTTAAAATATTGTATCTTTTTTTTTTTTTTTCAAATTATAATTACAATAAAAGTTTTATTTTTCATTAATTTAAATTACAAATTTAATTTATAAACTTTCCATTTGAATTTATAAAATTATTCAACATGATTCTTAACTTTTGTTTTAAATTTGTTTTTATATCTAACATTATCCTAAAATTTAAAAAAGTAAAAGAAATATAATATTGTTTAAAATATTAAAGGGCCCTAATAAACTGTAATAAAATAGTATATTTAAGCCAAATATTTAATTCTCTACCGGAACGAAAATTAAAATATTTATAAAATTGTTGTATTTTTAGTATCATTTTAAATAGAAAATAAAAGGGAAAAAGTGGGGCCGGGGAGATGAAGTCGGTGGGGCCCGTTTCGCCGATTGGGAATTTCGTGGATCTCAAATCAGAACTCGTACTTCTCTGTTTCCTCCTAATAATTTCTCCCGGGTTGCCCGCTGCCCCTTTGCCCGCTGCCCTTCTCTCTTAATTCCACGTCATATTTACCAATTTAGTTTTTCTTATTATGATAAAAAAAAAAAAAAACGTCGGTTTAATAATTATTTTATTTTTTATTTTCTCATAATAAATTTATATCTATAAAGTTAATTTTTAAAATATAAAAAAATAGAATAGTTATCAAATTTAGTTAATTTCTGTAAATTTATTAAGTTTCACTTAATTTTTGTGGGATTTTTTAATAAACTAATTACAAATGATCAATAACAATTATAAATTTAAATTGATATATTAAATTATTAGTTTTAAGTATATATATTTAAAACTATTTTTGTAATCTTTAATTTTATATAAATATGTGTTTCATTTTAAAACAAACTCATTAACGTTTTAACATTTTTATTTCATTATTTTCTGTTAATAGAAAAATATTTACATATTATAATTACAATTCACTATTTTCTATGGTATTTAGCTTATACTAAAAAATATTTTGTACTCTGTTTTAAATTTATTTATAAATTTCATTAATATTTTTTAATTTTTTAAAAATTCCACGTAGAAAAATAATATTTGAAATTTTATAAAAACAAGAAAAAAAAGGGCGTAGTTAAGTGTTGAGAGAGAGGGAGGGCAATAATTATTAATCAATATCGTCACGTTAGGTGGGCCGTACAGTGTGTGGGCATGGGGAATTGGTCCCCTAAACATATTTATTTTATTTTATATATTTATATTTATTTATTATTTAATTTTTTTACTTCACGGTAAAAAAGTAAATTGAGAGTAGGGACAAATTAGCGTTCCGCACCGTCTTTTCTGATTGTATTTGCCGGCTTCTGTCCACTGTACTCTCCACTCAAATACATATTCTCTCCCGAGTAAATTAATAAATATATTTTATAACTTTTTAATTTGTTTAAAAAAATACTTTAAACTTTTTAAAATTTTATTAATTCTTTTAAATTTTACAAAAAGTTTAATAAGATATTAAATGTAAAACATACCTAATATTTGTAAATTTTTAATAGTTCTTAAAAAATATATTTAAAAATTAATTTTTTTTAATAATATCCTTTAATTTTAAATAAAAAATAAAAAATATATTTATTGTAATACAATAAGTATAAAATTTTAAAAGTAGCATCGACCATCTTTTAATTTTATAAAAAAAGAGTTTAAAAAAGCTTTTATTGTTAATATAAAGACGAAAACTGTCTGTTTTAAAAAAAAGCATTTATTTAAAAAAAATTATGAGTTTTTTTTTTTTTAAGTTTAAAAGTATTTTTGAAAATTTTATTAAATAATTTTAAAAATTTAAAGGTATATTTGAAATCATACAATAAAAATATATTTTTGAAAGTTTAATAGAATTTTGAAATAAAATATTAACTATTTCCTTCCTAAAAATAAATAAATTAAAAATAAAATAATCCCGATGATTCTATTTCGCTTCCGATATCGAAGGTAGTTAGTTGGGCCCAAGTACTGGGCCTTCCCTTTCCAAAAGGGCCGTTATGGGCCCAACAAGTTTATGGGCTTTATTTAGTGCTAGTCCATGTAGCCTACCTATCACAGAATTCTATCCGGTCCGGTTTTTTAAAATTAAAAAACGGCCCATTCCCATCCAGGAGCCTGTTTTTCTGGATAATTAAATGACCAAACAAATGGTTAAAATAAAACTGTGTTAAATTACAAATCTGTACCTTATTGATTAATCTAAACATTATAATTATACGAATTAGTGACTATATTATATATCGATTACCAATTAAATTATACTTCCGGTACTTGAAATTTGAATTTAGTTTCTAATTAGTTCATAAATTTTAGAAATTTGAAATGTTATTTATTTCTTTAAATATAAATTTTAGATACTAATATTTTTATATTTGAATTATCTTATTAGGATTAATGGGATGTTTCTTTATTTAGTATAATAAATATGGAATTAATCATTAAAATGTTGAGCTAAAAAAATTATAATGATATTTATAAACTTAGTAGTAACACGAATTTATTTAATTTTTTACCAATATCCTCCCAAGTTAACATTTTATTGACAATGACCTAAAAGTGACACGTGGGCATTTTTTATTCCGCCAACACAGCATGAAATATATAATAATGGAGAGGATTGTATGCTTGATTTTGCTGACTCAGCAATTTACCGGTGTCAAACCCACCAGCTCTACCACCACCTGTATCTTCAATTACGAAGTCAACATTTTTATTATAATATTTGAAAAAGTGATATTCCACCAATAAACGAGCGCGTTGTACATACGCGCAGTACAAGGAGCGTAAGCTCCACATCATACGAATGTCAATTAAATCAGCTAATTAAAAAAAATAAATAGAAATGTTTTTTCCCTCAACGGCGCCTGAATTGAAATCCTCCTCGGGCCCACTTAAGATGCCAATGCCACCACCATACCCGCAAAAAGCAAAAAGCAAAAAAGCGGAAATTCCCAAAATATCCTCACAGTAAAAAGTAACACAAGATTCAAAAAGCCTCAAACGTCGTCGTTTGAAAGCTGCAAAAAAGCGGGAATTTTGAGCTTTCCAAGGGCAAAATAGTCCAAAGAAAAAACTCAAAGATCGAGATTCTGGGCTGTCTGTACTGTCTATGCAACATATTTGTCTGCTTGCCTTCACCAAAGCGTTTTCTTTTCCTCTGTTCTTAATCTTTTCTCTCCAAAACCCTTCGAAAAAATCCCTATATTCTTCAAATTTTAGTTGAAATTTTGAACCCTAAAAGCCCTCTAAAGAATCTCTCCCGGTTCTGATGGCAGAACACAAAAGCCTTCATTATCCGAAGTGAAGAACCCCACTTGCCTCAAATTCCATGTTCATCTCTGTTTAATCGTTGAGTAAAGGAAAAAGCTACAAAAAACCCCATCATTTTGATATCTGATTCGAAGAACAGTGCAAAAAAACCCAAATTTTCCTCTGCTGTACTCTGTTTTGTTCTTTAGAGGAGATCGACAAAGAACAAATCTGGCAGAAATGGCAGATCAGGTGCC